ATTTTTGTGTCCCCGTAACAATAACATAAACCTAACTGGAATTATTGATCATGCAAGCTATCTGCATTCTTAGATAAAATATATCAGTTCTAGCTTTAATAGTTGCGTGTGATTGGTGCATTTTACATCGCGAATTTTCCCTTTTATAACCTCAGCTCGCTACTATCGTTTGCAGGCGAACCAGGAGATCACCTCTGAGCACATCTCAATCGTGCAGCCCATGTTCCGTTTCTTCAACGGCAACGTGTGCTTCTGCCGGATGCTGCGTATCGCCGAGTTCTCCGTGCAGCCGTCGGTGATCTGGGACGGGGAGGTCGCCGAGCGCGCGCAGACCGGTAACCCGATGTCGCGCGCCGCCGCGCCGCCCGGCCAGCGCTGGGTGGGCCTCGGCTGGCGCGAGGTGGAGCCGGATGGGGAGGCCGGCCAACAGCTGATGGATACGGGAGAGCCGCCGCCGCCCCCGCGGCCCCCGGTCGGCGCAGCAGCGGGCGATGAAGCAAGAATGGTGAGGGGATGGGTTCCATGGGAACGAGTCTACCAATGAGTAGGAAGTAATTCGCAGCTACCGTCATGGTTCCTAGTTGACGTTCATGTGTTCTCGTATTCGCAATCGTTTTATGATGAATTTGTATATTTACTTTTTAATGGTCTGTATATTTAATGTGACCGTTTTCTTTCATTGATTTCAGTCAGGGAAGGAGGAGAAGCAACGAGTGAAATATTTGATCTTCACAACCGGATCGAAAACTTACACACCGCATCAAATTGGTGTGTGCCTTTTCTTGTAAATTCATCAAAGTTCAACATTGGACGTTCAACACACCATGCTCCTTTTTCAACGTCTCGTCATACATTCAATATTGAATTCTGATGTTTTCATCTTGATTTATGGACTTTACTTGCTGCCGTTAAAGACGCAATCTGCTTGCTAACTAATGTATCATTTCACATCACTTTTTAACGTCCCTCTCCCACCCTCATACAGGGTTTAAGCGTCTGGACGGGTTCCGGATCCAGACCCGGATCGCCCCTGGTCCCTCACTGCGTGAGCGTGTCGAGTTCCGTCGCCGAGCCGAGCAGCTACACGAGGAGCTGCGTGCTGCCGGTGTGCCGCCGCCAGAGCCCGACTATAACGACTGGGAGTCGGTGTGTGACCAGTTTGACAGTGTGGATCACGTGATCGACCTGCACGGACACATCATCGGCATGTGTCTCAGTCCGAACCAGAGGTCAGTGTGCCAGCCGGTCGCCGGAACAGTCAGGGATATGTGGATTAACTGGTAGAGCGCTGCATGGTGCGGTATCACTGCTCTGGGTAACTATGCTAGCTTATGTCTCAATCTGAATGAGAAGCCATTAGACGGGCATGGGAAGGTGGCCGGGCGGGGCTGTTTTTTACGGGTGAAGGAGGGGATGAGAGTGTCATTGGTTTGTGGCATGCTATCAGTGTTCTCGGGTCCCCATAATTAGCTCAAGGGCTCGCTGGAGGTTACCTCCTTATCCAGCATTTGACAGGTTTATAACTGCATACAGATTACAGGCTGTACTGTTTCCCTTCACTAACTGTATCCCTAGCTGTTATGTCTCCCATTTGACCTGCGCTGGTGACCTCTGACCTCTGACGTGACCTTTCCTATCACTAGGTACCTGTTTGTCAACACGCGCCCGTGGCCGGAGAACTACGTCATTCGCAACCCGAACGATCCGCCGCCGATTGCACGGGAGATCGACATTCACGTCATCGATGTGGTACGTCGTCAGTCGTCACTAAACTTCAACGATTGGTGATGTATGAAGTTGATGGGGTGGGATGACTGATGTGTGCAGCAGTGCTGATACGGTGTCTGCTATCGATATCTGTGGTGTGTTGCCAGGAAACGTACTTACCATAATCCATAGTCCTGATTGGGTTTCTTATGCGTCAGTTATAAAGAATGCTTTGCTTACGCTATTTTTCTTAACAAAGTTGTGTTTTTCTTTTGTCAGGCGACCAAGAAGCAGATTGGCAAGTCTTACCGTGCTCACCGTGCGTATACATGCAACGAAGGCTGCTTTTTTCTATTCGTGGATGTCACCAAACATTTCGTGGCGAGGTATGTACGTATTGGCAGCCCTGGCAGTGGAGTGGCGCTGGTCTCCGGTCATCCCGCCTCCAGTGGCTCGAGGCTGTATGATGTTAAATGTGCATCGGTGAAAGCACTGTGATTCATTAGTCGGAGAGCGGGGTCAGACTTGTCTGGCGGTCACGGAGAGTAATTAGTAAAAAGGTTTGACGCTGTCACTGGTACTTTTGACGAGGTACTCGTAGACGTTTGGACCGTTTACTTCTAAAATAAGTACTACTTACCTACTTACCGAACAAGTACTACTTATCAAAACAGTACTACTGCTAATTATAACCATTGATCGCTTATTGTTCCCTGACCTTGTACTGTATTCTGTGACTCTTTCCAGCGGCGCCGAGGACAAGCACGCCTACCTGTGGGACCGCCACCACGCCGTTTGTCTGAGCCGCTACCCCCACGCGGACGTGGTGAACGCTGTGGCCTTCAACCCGGCCGACCCGGGAATGATGGTCACCGTCTCGGACGATCGGACTGTGAAGGTCAGCGACCTGGGGCGGGGCTTAGGGAGGAAACAGGCGTTCACTGGCAGGGGTTGGTATGTGTTATGAATGGAAAGCGAAATGATTGGGCTTCTGAGGTACTGGATCTAAATGACTGTAGCTGTTGGACTATAGTCCATGAGTGAACAGCCTGAGAACGGCTAGACCCGTCTCTACGTTTTTTGTTTTGTTTTTTGGAAAGTCTAATGGATTCTTTAAATGGACATCTTCCCCAGTAAGTTCCCTCACTGGGGACGTGATAGTTTGACACCTCTAGCTTTGGGGATGTGGTACCCATTCCCAGGGTATATTGAGTGACCCATTCGCTCCCTGCCTGGGCGGGGGACGTGGCACCTCTGCCATGCTGGGGTGGACTGGAAAATCTCTCCCCTCGTCCAGCGAAATACTGGAAACTACCCGACTCTACCGACCTCTCCGGATGAATAGGACACCGTCTGACTACCCTCCTTGGCCGAACTGGTGGACACTGCCTGATTCTATCCCGCCGTCTTCAGGTCTGGCGTTCTCGGCTCAACTGTGAGCAGAACGGCATAGACACTGCAGACCTGCCTCACTGTATCAAACACCGTACACGACGCACGCGGCCGCGGCGGCGAGCCCACACTACTGCCACCTAGCGGTGAGGTTTTGCACTGCAGCCTACTACCGCCGCCGCCGCGGAGGGCAGGCGCGGTAGTCAGTGCCAGGGCACTAAAGACTCGTCAGTGCCTTGCCGAGTGTTCATCGCATTGGTGCTGCTTCGGAGTGTGCTACTGACTAACTGTTTTCTGTGATATCGTATGGTGGGCCGGGTCGGCCCGCGTGGTATGCCGCTACCGGAGAGTAAGTTAGTTCTGGTGGGCGGTCCACATCAGTAGGCGGATGGTCTCGAAAGTCATCTCCCACTTCCCAGAGTAGCGCGGAGACGCAGTTCGGGAGGTGCTATTTGTGAAGTCCTGTAGGTCTCCGGGAGGAGAGGGTCCGTCAACTCCACCCGTCAGAAGCGACGACTGCCGAGAGCTTATGAGGACGAGGCCGGAACTTTGGTTTGAGCCTGGGTAGGTACTGATGCTGATCATGGGATTGACACTGGGTTAATTCAGCGGCGATTTGGAGCTTAATTCGAGACTGATGTGTCTCGGGAGTCTTGCCCTCCATAGTTGAGACTTGAGACAATAGTAGCCGAGTCGGAACCTCAAAACGAGCCAATATTTGTGGTTCGTCATCGAAGGAATGGTTGTGTAACTTGTTTTGCTTTTACTAGGGTTTTTTAAAGTGTGTTAAGTAGCGAGCTTGTCACTATTCGTAGATTGATGATTGTAGATTCGTATAATCGATTGTGTTATTGCTGGATTGTCATTTAGGGGGTATTAGTTGTGATTGAAAACCAAATGAGAGGTATCTAGCAGACAAATGAACCAGTCTGGCTACACTGGTCGAATTGGACTATAAAGGGTTCTGTCGTCTCCCGTCCACAATTTTTCCAAGTTCACGTAATGAGCGACCTCTTAGGCGCAGTTCTGCGGAGAGCGAGTGCCTTCGGACGGCTCGGCTCGTCTCGACAGTATATTTGGAGCCCAGTGTTCAGGCCACATAGTGGTATATCCCACTTCATTCAACTATTAGCTTTATTCAAACGTCCGCTGTAGCTCTGCTTCTCACTGACAAAAGACATTTTATTTTGTTCGAGTTACAGTCACTCTGTGATTCGTAGTCAGATGTTATTACAGCCACAGTATAAAACTCTTGCACTACATATTGTGGCTTATGATCATACAGCACCGTCATCGCACGTCTCACGACGTCTTTACGGTCGGTCTGTAGTCCAGAGTCACACCACAATTACTTGTGAAGCCACCAAAAAGCTGTGAACGAGACAGATCACAGCACATTGCGGTTGCAGTCGGGTTGCAAGATATGCACGACGCACAGTCAGCTGTCGACACCAGTCAAAGCCGCTTTTGTCTGTTCACTTCCTTTCGTGCGTGGTGTTCGAAACAGAAAACATGTCGCCCCCACCGCCTGTCGCTACCATTGTCCCAACGACAACAAAGCCTACCCTGGTAACAAAACCAGCTCCCAGCGACAACAAAGCCTACCCTGGTAACAAAACCAGCGTATTTCTGATCAAATCTTGTGATATGTCAGTGGGATATACCATTGGCAAAAATAGACCCGAAGGATATCAATTGATCGTAGAATTAGCTGTTTCGCCGGTATATTCGGCCAATAGTCAGTACGATTTGCAGCAGATTTCACAAAATGGGTGACTGATATTTACATCAGTCGTCTCCGTAATAGCTGTGTCTCCAATCTACGTGTGTTGTTCGTTGTCTGTGTGTACTCGCTGGAGCCCGTTTGTTCGGCACTAGCTGTGCAATGGAGCCGGAGGGTGTTAAGACGTGCTGCTTTATTTACAAATGATTCACATATGCCAATGTCGGAGCGCACTCATCGATATATGTACTCGTTGGTAGACGCCTTATGCCGGATTGTTTAGCCGCGTGCTGGGTGGTGCTGTGTAATACAGTCTATTTTATATTTAACCGGTTCGCCGCTCTTTGCCTGGGCTGCTTATCACTTCTCTTGTCGATGTTGACAAATCACATATCGACATTTCCAGATCGACTGATACCCTGTGCTGGCGATTCATCTCGGTACCTACCTTTACCCGCACATCGCACCAAATCACGCATAAGCCACAGACAGTTCAGCCGAAACATCTTTCCATCGTCGTACCTGGCGCACCGAACGGATGGTACTGGTTCGAGAAGCTACTCTATCCGTGACACACTGCACACGCAGAACCATCACATCCAGTCCATCAGCATCATTGTGCGGGGTGCTACGACAATTGTATGACCTACTGTGGACCACAGCGATAATTAGATCAACACAGAAAAGAGCTTGAGGAGTAGCTATCACCACTGGCTTCTCCATGGGGTAGTTCTTAGCTGGTTTCCTCTCGTCTGAGTGGATCCCCTGCTTTCCATCTACCTGTCCTTCCGTCCGTCCGCCTCTCGTATTTTCAGTTCTCACCAAGAGGTGGTACATGCACGTCAGTGGCAGTTTTGGCGGGTCCACCGGAAGGACAGGATGGTCACAGTAGCAGAAACACTGCAACAGACAGCAGAGAGTCGGTGGTCAGCCCGGTACCTGCCAATGCTGTCAGGTGACATCCCCCCCCCCCCCCGTGTGTCAACTCCCACTGGTTACATTTATAAATCACGGGACGCTGCAACCCATGAATGACATCGATGTGTTGCAGTGTCTGGCTTCATAAAGTTCGCTCTATGTTTTGCAGTGTCCTGGCTTCACAAAGTTCTCTACTGGTTATTGCGTTCTGAGGTTGTCCTCCTCTTACGTTCGAGATATTTATGGACTGGGAGCTGATCGTTGCTGACAATCCATTCAGTGGACGGACCAATCGTATGACGGCTACGTGACTGGCTAGGCTACCGATGATTTTATCTCACGTGCTTAGTTACCTAAGAGGGTGACGGCTGCGGCGGCGACGAGCACAGACGTGGTGACGGCCGTCCAGCGCAGGATCTGACGCCACAGCAGCCGCTGTGTGAGCGTGGGGTCCACCAGGCCGTCTGACTCGTTACCAGAGGTCCTGAGAACGGGCGACGGGAATAGACGGGCGTTAGACGAGGGCAGTCATTACAGGACAGGGTGGTTAAGCTGAATACGGGTGAGTGCCAGTGCATGGACAGTCAGGAGGGCCAGAGTGGACAGGAGATGAGGGGATCAATAGAGCTTTATGGCTCTCACGAGTCACAAATGTTTAGGGGAACTTCGTAAAGCGTGGGCGCTACAGAATCGAATAGCAGATACATTATACCTGTCATTGAATAATTCTGTATGCTTCTAACACCGAGGAGTAGTGACTTTCCTGTGGGGTGAGTGACAATTTTCGTCCCTGTCTCTGGCCTTTTCATCGTGTCCTTCGACTGACCTGCTCCGGGGCGCCGTCCAGTTGGGCGACACGGCACAGAAGGCCTCCCGCGGTGGCCGGTCCAGGTCGGGTGACGACGTCCGGATGACGGCCGACGGGCCGCCGCCGTCCGCTCCGTCCGGTTCCAGCTCAAACACGGCAGTGCGCCGGCCGTCCTCGTCATCCGAGGCCGCTCCGCCGGGCTCCAGCCAGGAGGGCAGCACGGGCTCCTCGGAGCGGCGCTCGGCGCCCACAGCGGGCGGGCCCGACCACCGCCGATCGGCCAGCCGAGGTGGTTTGGGAGGCCCTGTGCCGTGCCAGCCGACGGCCGCCGTGACCGGCTGGTGGCCCCGGCGGCCGGGGCTGGTGGGTACCAGCGGCGTGGCCTCCGGCGCGCGGTGTACCGCCGGCCGGGCCCGCGGCGAACGGAGCACGGCAGGAGCGCGGCCCGACGGCGGCCGCTGGCTGACGGTCTCCTCTCGTTCCTCCCCGACCTCAGCCGGCCGATGCTCCTCCTCCCGGCCCGGTGTGGCGCCGCCGCGGTGGACACGCTGTGTGGACATCACCTGAGAGAGTCGCTCCAGCACCTCAGTGGCTGAGGTGGCAGGCCGCGGCCGACCGACCCCGTACCGCTCGTACTCATTCACCGCAGGAGGAGAGGTGGCTTTGATGGGCTCCGGGAATCGCACCGTCTCTATTACAGGGTGGGAGGAGCGATCCACCTGGTCCCAGTTGAAGTCGGCCTCTCGGTCACGTGCCTTGTGTCGTGATCGTGACACCTGCGTGGACCGTGACGTTAGTAAAGAATCAATGACGTCATCAATGGTTTCGACGTTGCCGCTGTCGAATAGCGAGTGTCCAGGCGGCACGGCCGGAGACTGTGCCGCCCGGTCAGAGGGCTCGCTGCGGGCTGACGAGGCTCCGGTGCTGCTACTGGACAGCGGCCGCGGCGCCGAGCGAGGCGTGGCCAGCGAGTCGACCCCGCTGGGCGGTCGCTGTGCCGCCTCGTCGCCAGGTGTCGGTTCGAAGCCCGTCTCCTGGCTGCTGCCGCGCGTGTTGATCCGCGGGCGGTACGGGTAGGCGTCGTCCTCGAACTGCGAGTCCGTGCTCTCGCCTGATAGCGGACGGGGCCGCGACGCCTGAACCTCCTCCCAGCGCTCCAGCAGGCTCTTGCGGCGCGGCGGCGGCGGCTTGTCGCCGCGCCGGTTGTCGGGGCTGGGCGACTGCTGGTACTTGGTGGCGTGCCAGCCGCTGCGGTCTGTGGAGCGGGCCGAGTCGCCGTTTGACATGTTCTCGTCGCTGCCGTTGGCCGACGGCAGGTCGAGCAGCACGGCGCTGCGCTCTGTCAGCAGGAGAGCCTGCTCGGAGCGGCTGAGCGGCCGGTCGCTCCCGCCCTCCGCTCCGCCCCGAGCCCCGTCCTCGGGCGACTGACCCGCGCGGACGCCGGCCTTGCTCGAGTGAAGCCGCCGAATGGACGTGCGCCGAAGATTACTGGCGACCCTCGCAGCCGCCATCGGAGACGGCGTCCTGCTCACGTAGGGCTCTTCCTTTTTGGTTGCCGAAAGCTGGGAGTACTTCGCCAAGAACTGGTCAATGGTCATTTCCCCGGATAGATCGCTTGCTGTTAGTTTGCTCGAACGCTTTTCGATAGGAGGAAATGAGTTGTTTCTAGACATTTTTGCTTCTGGGATTGCACGTATCTCAGTGATTGTTCATATTCATGCGCATAGCGGATCTTTTACGGATATCTGACTGACCACGGCACATCTTATGATGTATAATTAGTTCGAACGTTATTGTGTGCTTCATAAGTAAATTTCCTTAGATATATTCTTGTGAATGAGTCGATGATCCATGTTGTTGATATTTTATCCAAACGAGTCGTGTTGCCGCGCCATATCTGTCAGATAATTCGAAAACCGGTTTGCCTTTATTTTGGAAGTTTTCTCGCTCGTGCTTTTCATTCAGTTGCTCTCCATTACTAAATTTCCCCCGTTCTTCTCTCATGTGTTTCGTACCAAAGTGTGCACACTATTGGCTATGTCATTATCTCACGTCATATACAAAGCAGAGCGTAACTTGTAAGTAGGTATATTGAAACGAACAAGAATATCGGTACTCGCAGTCTTGCAATTACATCTTTTGTATGTCGAGAACAACATAATGACAGATGCATAAAAATTCCATAAATAAATTTCGTTACGGGGCGATAGGCATGACCGACCAGCAATAACATAAATCTATGTAAATATATCAACCAATCCGCCATTGGAGAGTCACGATATGTTTTTCCTTGATTGGGAAACGCAGTGGAAGCCTTGCTGGGCCACTGCATCCGCATTCCGCATTAAAACAAAAGTGCAACTCTATTTGCATGCATAGCCGACCCCCGGGCCATCCGCTCGTCAATATATGGCACATCCTAAAACGAATTTATCAGTTCTGTCAATCTGAGATGTAAACTTATCCTAGCACAAAAATATTTTGCATGCATAATTTTTAACCAGGTATATTATAGCATTGCATAATGACAGATCGTATCGTATCACCATAACTGTGCGACATCGCGTTTAAGTGAGGCTCGTGGTACTATTCAGAAAAAAAAACGCGTTTTAAGAGCTGCACAATGCCTCTAACTTAGCTGTGCCCGATCCATACAATATTGCCATGGGCGGGCAAGAACTCATAAAGCTAGCACTATCTGCCAAAACTCGTTCACACAAATGTACTTGACGTCACTGACGCTCTTATGGTTTGCACAACCTTGATTGTGGGGTGTGTTGATAGAGAAATAAATGTGTAAACTAGCGCTTATCGGTCTATGGGGGGGGGGGGTGCCGGTGAAGACAGTCGGGATGAGTTGTCTAGAGGTAAAAACGACATGTCCTATTCCCCCACAAAGTACTGTTCGAAGTGATTTACGAATACCGATTTATCATTCGGTAGGCCACGAGAGACGGGAGGCCGATCAACAGCCAACGGTGACAACGAGAGATGGAGGTAAAGGGAGCTGGGAAACATTACAGAAGTTAACATAAGATAACGCTAGTTATATGATTGTTAAAGGTAACGTACGCTCACGCACTATCAGCTGACGGCACGACGACGCGCATGCGTTGTGCGCGGCGCTATCCGCCAGTCGTCGCTCGCCCCCCGAGAGCGACGGACGTGACAGCTACACGGGTGATTCACAGATCAGTCTATAGTCGATACCGATGGGCAGAGACGTTTCCTTTCTTCCTCACTGGCTGACACGATGCATGACTCTCCAACACTACGACGTTGAACGGTTCTTCCTTCCCCCTCAATGGTCGTTGTGGCGCGAGCTGTGGCCATCCGTGTCTGGCATGGGCAGCGGGCGCGGTCCCTCCTCGGGCAGCGCCATTCGGACGCTCCGTCCGCCCGGCCGGCGGTTCCTCTTCAGTTCCTCGCGTCCATCGGCGCCGTACCAGATGGCGCGCAGCAGTCGCACCAGGCCCAGCTCCGAGTGGGCGAATACGTCACTCTGCCGACACACACGGGATGAGGAGTTGGTGGGTGGGTGTGCCTGGGGTTCAATAAGGGTACAAACGGTGTGTTGAACACACGGGATGGGTTCAGTGGAGGTGTGTGCCTGGGGTTCAATAAGGGTGCAAACGGTGTACACGGGGGCTGGTGTAAATTTGAAGCAGCTTAGGTGTTCCGCGTCATCGGATCGACGATTTCCGTTAAAAAGAAAACAAAATCAAGTTCAGACAGTACCTTAGCAATATTGTTTTAACCTGGAATAAGGTTGATGCAATGAGTGAACAAATACATCGGCAAATAAATGTCTATCATCTGTTTTAGATTAGAATGCATTGAAGCTCTAAACATTCTTAGAGTGAACTCTTCCCGAAGACGGTTCCCCAGTAGTTTCTGTCTGGATCTTGCTGTCAGTGGTCATTGGACTCGATAATCTGATCTAAAAATACGACTGCCGACTACGCCCCCAAGCAGTGTCGGTCCCTCCCCTCCCCCTCCCTTCCTTCCCTCCGCGTACTTACGACCCACTGTCCGGCCGGCGTCTGCGCCAGAGAGCTGATGAGCCTGGCGATGGCGCCGTCACCCCTCTCGATGTAGTCCCGCACCATCTTGACCAGCGACATCAGGCTGCTCTCCAGACCGGTCACCTGTCGACAGAGTGACACACGTGTCAGAGACGTGTCAGTACCGATGTCAGAGCTGTGTCAAAGCTGACATCAGTTCTGTCAGTGGTCGGTGTCGGTGTCAGTGTTGCTAGAACAGAACCATGTCATGTTCGGTTTCAATGAGAGTGTCAGCTTCAGTACTGTGTCAGGACCGGTGGCGTTAGCTGTTCTATCATAGACGGATCGATCCCGGACCATGCGTCTCTGCAGAGACGAGCAACAGACCATCTCCAGGTTATGTCATGACATAACCTGGAGATGGTCTGTTGCTCGTTTTGACGCATTATGCTTGGGCAAGTGCGTGTTCCGGCTAGTCAGACGGCGGAAAGGGACAAGTTTTCTTCACTGACGACTGACGCATGCAAGTATCTAAAAGTTGCTGGTTTTCGGAGGTGGAAAACCAGCAATAGTACCAACGTGTGTCATACCGGGTGTCACATACACTTCTGTAACGTTCGGAATGCTGTATTGACATATTTACACCGGTGCATTTATCCGGCAATATGACAATGTGCTCATACGAACGAGAAAGACAACGCATTGAACGCTCCTATAAACAATATAAACCACAACCACACACCACAACCTTCTTAGATGTTGGGCTCACACAACCTACGTAGATACTTGTGTCACAACGTTCACGGTAAAGCGAGCTGTGCATTTGGGAATCACTTAAGGTCAAGTTCTAAGCTTCGCTTGGTGTTTCCTCACTACTGCTGAAATAACAATCTGTCTCACTCCCTGAGATTAAATACGCTTCAACGCGAGTTGACTAGAGTTTCGACACTGATACACAGACCCTCATTTATACGATCACTTCATTCGCTGCACAGCGCGATCGCGTACCTATCAATAATCATACATCCTATTGTCGAACGTTCAAACCATCGCAGGGCAGCGGGGCACCGCATTGGGCCCTCCCTATAACGGATGTCCTGTCCTAACCTCCCGCTCTCACTGTCAATGTCCATGATACTCTGGCGGCGCGCCGTACAGGGACATATGCAGTGCGACCACCGCTAGTACCCAGCCGGCCAGCGGCAGCCACAGACACAGGGTGCACGAGCCGAGCGCCAGCTGACTTACTTTGAAGCAGATGTAGTACGCGTACTCGGTGGCAGCGATGACCAGGCCGAGCCAGGCGTAGAAACAGTAGGCGGCCGTGTCGCTGGTCCACTGGACCCAGTCGGAGACCTCGTGTAACACGGCCAGAATGTTACCGATGTTCCAGTTCACCACCTGGCGGAGACATAACGAACTAGTGATACATTTTCTCGCCACATTGTGCACGGTCGGTAATGAGTAGGTTTTCGCAGAAAAGTGGACGGTAGAGGAGCTTTTGTCGTATTACCTATTTATTCAATGGATGCGAGGACAAGAAACATTGCACACTATCGTGTAACTGATCCACCGAAATTCAAGGAGCCAGTCGTACCATCTGGCTGATAATTAGGGGCCTTAGACATGGCAAAGCTATGCTTTGAATACGATGCACCTTTATTTTCACCTTTTGGAAAAAAGTTGATACGTTCCTTTACAGCTTTTCATATAGGTTTACGGTTGGAAACTTTTTAGTATTTCTTATGTCCCATGACAAATTCTTCATGGTTTTCTATACCACGGAAGCTTTGCTTAAATTCAAGTTTCGTGTGCGTATCTGCGGATTCCATATTCAGGACTTCGGCTTAATTTCGGAAATTTTGATAAGCCGTTTTATCTCATGTCAGCAAGACGTTGATTAGAAATTTTCGTTTCATGCATTGCATCACGTCTGTATTTCGCGTCGAATTTCCAATGCAGAATTCATCAGTCGCCAGTCATACACATCACAAACTCTTTCGTACCACTCACCAGCCCGGTCAGAACATCTAACACTCACCACACACTCCGGTATAAATAACAACCGCACAGTCGTCCTTCCTGGTCACATCACCGCCATTCAGTTAACACGTACCGCCCACGTGACCCGCGAGGGGACGGCGAAAGCGTGCTGCAGAGTCTCCGAGGGATGAGAGACGAACTGCAGCGGTAGGTAGATGTACGTCATCAGCAGCAGCGTCACCCACTGGCCCAGCAGACTCTTGGTGTCAAAATCTGACGGCACGGCATGTCAGTATGCGTTAGTGGGTGCTGACAAACGACGAACTGCAAAATGACCTTGTAGTCGGCGCGCCCTTAAGCCCCAACAAACGACGAACTGTAACGAAGCCACACAATTCGCTTAGTTATCTATTTCTGGACTCAATGGGGGAGGAACCCCCATCCTTTGGTTGCTACGTGGTGGAGGAAGTTTTGAACTCGTTTGCAAGCTGCTTTTCCCCGCGGTGTCGGTCCGCGTCTCCGTGTCGTGCGGTACAGTCTACCTTCAGGCGCTCACTACTAGTGACATCTATCGGCAGGAATACAAACTCACTCAAGCAGCCGTGCGGGTCTCTTGTCAACGTAACTTGTTCAAAACACGAGCATTTGGCAGTAATACGAATAAAAGTTATCAAAGTATAGTTGAGATGTACAGGATAAGCTACTTAGTCTTCTGACTTCTGACAGTCTCTGTGGCGACAAAACAAACACTTTTGACGGTGTTCCGATAGCGGCCGTGGGGGAACGGAACACGGTAAGCTCTGGAGGCCTCTCGTATGGAGGTGGATCACATAAATCTCGGGCTGCCTTACAGAAAGGGTGAAAACTCACTAACCTCTGGCAGCTTCCCTGAGAGGCGGGAACACGCTGACATACTGCTGAGCAGCCCACTGAAGAACACCGCGTGCCGAGGCCAGACACAGACTCAGCGGCAGAAAGAGAGCCGTCACCAGCAGCTCCCCGTCCAAAGACATGGGCTGGAATGGATTAGAACGGGAATTAGGGACGATGCAACTCGTGTCGTTTGGAAGTCAGCGACTCTGCCTAGTGCCTAAACAGCGACGAAAATGCCGGAGACGTCATTTTTAATCACCTTACCTGTTAATTGGAAATACGTATAATAATTTATTTAGTATGCGACTTCACTTCACTTACAATAATTTTTGCTGTGACATCCGTGTTAAAATAAAGCATTCGTGAAAGAGCCCGGCCACCGAGCAGCACGGCATCATCAAGTGTCTAGGTCGGCACCATTACTCACATCAGCCTTGTCTTTGAGTCGCGGTACAGCCCGCTCCAGAAGACGAACGCCCTTGATGCTGAAGTGATCGCCGATCTTGAGTGGTGTGCGCGCGAACGGGGATCGTGCCACGGGCAGCACGATTAGCCGGCAGTAGAGACCGAGTAGCGTCTCAGCGAACGAGAGAACCAGACGACCCGAGTCGCTCCGCTTCTGTGGGTGGGAGAGGAGGGGTCAGTTGGTGGGAGCCGTCTGATCGTCCAAGCAGTAATCATCCTTGCTTTGTGGGGTACATCTTTCGTACTTTTTGTAGTACAGGGTGACACAAAAAAAGCGGTCATCACCAAAATTCGAATAACTTCGGAAGTTTTATTCAGATCATCACCAAACTTCGGCCACTTAAAGGTAGTGTGCCAGCTTTCTTGGACCGTATGGAGTTAATGGCCCAGATAAGGAGAACCGGATTTTTAGAACTTATCCATACCTTCAAAACTCATGGAAACGTCTTAAATTCTTCAAATTTTGAGTACCCCAGTGCGAAATTCGCCCCGACGGGTTGTCGGTCGTACCCCAACCACATTTCACACCACTATGAACAATAAATGCACACACTGAAATCGCTATTACCGATATGCTCATCCAATCAAGTTTCGATAAACCCGTTCATCATCATCTCCTGCGGTTTCGAACACGCCTGTTAGGTGGCTTCTGATGCTCGTCGAGGTCGGAATTTCCAAATACGCGTGGTGCGTCGGGCCGCGCGCTCTGACTTCGGCCAAGAAAAATGCGTCAGCTGATCATTGTCATTTCTGCCACTTGCGTGTGGTGAAATGGGGTCATAACTTATAAGACGGCTTTTTCATATAAATTATTTTACATAAAATCATATTTCAAACCATAAATAATGTTCGACAGCCAAATAAAAGAAACAATACCAATACGGGCTTACAGTTTAAGGCTCGACATTGTGTTGTCTACGATTAGACAGCTGATAACTCATTCCCGTACGTCGTATGGTCGTAACACTATAATGACCTTTGCTTATTGTCACAAGTGCGCCGCATTCGCGATTGTTGCCCGACGCCTGTTTGCAGGTGAGCCCACTACAGTTGTTATACATATCTAAAAACCGAAAAACTTTTAGGCGAAAAAGGCACTATTCCAGGCCCATTTTTGATTTTTTTTGCGATATTAGGTAAAAACAGAACCTTCTTATCCTGGGAAAAATAAAATGGGAAATCTTTCAAAGGTGGCACACTACCTTTAAGGTCACACCTATGTAGCAGACATCCACCAAGTTTCAAGTCTTCACTACGAATACTTTTAGTACAGTGTGTGTTTTACGGACGCTCCACAATGTGCTCCAGGTGAGCGCCCCGGCGCTGCAGGGCGTAGGCACACCTGCATCCGGCGGGCAAAGTTGCCGATAACCCGATAAGAATAACGTTTCAGGGGTAGCACATCCCCTGAGCACTGTCTCCAGAGGCCATTGCACTCTGTAAAGTGCACAGCCATCGGGTTATCGACAACTTTGCCCGCCGGATGCAAGTGTGCCTACGCCCTGCAGCGCCGTGGCGCTCACCTGGAGGACATTGTGGAGCGTCAGTAAAACACACACTGTACTAAAAGTATTCGTAGTGAAGACTTGAAACTTGGTGGATGTATGCTACATAGGTGTGACCTTAAGTGGCCGAAGTTTGGTGATGATCTGAATAAAACTTCCAAAGTTATTCGAAATTTGATGATGACCGTTTTTTTTTTGTGTCACCCTGTATGTTGCAGCTTGCAAACCGCGCTGTGATTTACGCTCACAATACTTTTATGTCAGTTCCTCTCGTCATTTATGCGTAACCTTGACCACAGTAGCTCAACGGTGAAACGTCCAGGATTGTGATAGACAATATCCCTTTTCGCTAATAGGTACATGAGCAAAGATGTGCACTGTAAACGGATCGGCAGCCGCCACTCATTGCAAAATCTGTGTACAATGCGCAATCACTTTGTTCATTTATCTGCGATAAATCAATCTCGTTTCTATGCGCACTTATAGTGCTATGATGGTATGTGGTTACTGGGTGCTGGTGACATCCCTCGGATCGGTGGGTGGTATCCCGCTGCTGACGTATGATCGCTACGGAGCTCGTTTACGCTATCGCTCGCCAGAATATAAACAGTCCGACCATCGTCTGGGTGACTCAGCAGATGCGCGCGGGTGTAACGTCTAGGTCAGCTTCCGCTTCACAGTGTGATGACAAAGGCCACCTTGCTGGAGCGGTCGGAGGGGACATGGTACTGTGAACCTTGTCCCATGATCGGCTGTCACACTGGTCACGAAGGTGGCACGAGCAGACGAGGTGGCGATTGGTGGACGGACAGGGTTCACGTGATTTAACACTGACTTAACATGTGTGCGTATAGACGCCAGCCGCCAGGTCAGGACTAATGCCGTGACAGACACGGGCATGACGAGCACGCGTGACCAGTGTAATGTAGGTGCTCCTGGACCGGACAAGCATGCACTTTGTGAACTGTGTCTGAACTGTGATGCGACAATATTCGGGAATCTCCAGGTGAAACGGCATACCTATGGATCCATCATTTGGTCATGTTTAGTCTGTTTAGAACATCATCATGATACCATAAGTGTTATATTAATTTGAATGGCTCACATAATTTGATTAACATTGTTTTCTTTTGTTGCAAATTACGGTATGGTAACACTACATCAATATTTCAAGCGACTCCAAGTCTGCTCCGTAGTTCACATCAGCCGATATGGGATGATACTGTGCCGCATCACACATCTGCCCTCCGGGTAGCCTACATCTCACACATGCCAGACTGGGCGACAACTCCTGCACTCGGCGTTACGCGAACAACTTCCTGATTGACTGTATTTTGGGCGTTTGATTGGCTATTTATAGATGTTTATTTTTGTTTTGTTTTTAAAAATGTTGCATTCGTCTGGCCTTTTTACGGAGAGGGGGTGGGGGAGAGCGAAGCTGCAGGCGCAGCAGCGCAACATGCTAATCAATGCAACTGCTATCGGTTGACTCGAAGCTGCTTTGATCACCCGAAACTACAATTTGCTGCGGAAGGGCAAAATAGGAATAAAGAGCGCGGCACGGCTCAGGCGGCAACGCGTTTGATCTTGTGATTGTTTCTGTAAAAAAAGCTTTGTCGCCTGTCGGGCATTGCATTCTGAGGATGCATTGGTGAACATATTACTCATTCGCGAGAAAGAAACGTATTTCAGTCAGCGAACGAAATCAATATCAAACCTTTGAGCACACATGTTGATGTTACACACCAGTAAAACGCCTTTTGGGCGAAGAACGAGCGAGCGAGATAGTGAGCCCTGCACGTGCAGAAGGGCGAGAGGGTACTTCCAACGGGCTTGTGCAAAGCACCCTTCTAACCGGTCGCTAGCGGTGTACCAAATTTGAACGCAATCGGCCCAGCCGTTCCTGAGATCTGGAAGCGGCATTCTGCACGTGCGCACGTGCAAACGGGGTCCAAAATGACTTCTGCACGGCACCCTACTAACCGGTCCCCAACCGCGTACCAAATTTGAGCGCAATCGGCCCAGCCGTTCTCGAGATCTGGAAACGCCCCCTGCACGTGCGCACGTGCAGTAGCACCCTAACCGCAACACATGGGAATGCATTGCCTGGTGGGTGCCTACCTGTATGCCAAGTTTCAGCGAAATCGCCCCAGTAATTGCCGAGTTACTGAAATGGGAACAAATTTGGCACCTCTTATTGTTGTATTTTGCACGTGCAGTGGGGGTCACTCACATAGATGAAGAGTATCCGACCTTTGGTAGAAGGGATGCAGCTATCCTATAAAAATGACCGCAAGACAATCGCTCAAGCCGCTGCTGAGATATGGGCCTCTCAAAATCATTATTTTTGCAAAACTGCTTGAACACCCTTGACTTTTCACGTGGCACGTGCCACGGCGGTCACTGAGATGTATCAAAAGTAGTCAATTACGGGGTAGAAGGGATGGGGCTACCCAGCAAAAAAGACCGCAGGCCATTCCGTCCAGCGGTTGCTGAGATATAAGCCTCTCAAAAGCGTTACAGGCCGGGCCGGGCCGGGCCGGGCCGCTCATACTGAGATTTTTCCGTTATATTGAAAAGACTTCGCTTCGCTCGCTGCGCTCGCTCGCTCGTAATCAAGAAAACATCGTCGAGAGTGATAACCCTCTTTGGCGAAGCCCCTTGACAATTCGTCCCGTTAAAGGAAAAGGGCCACCTTCGTGAAATATGAAGATATCGTTGTTTTTCATTTTGACATTATTATTTTTCATTTTCTTTTTAAAACTGGTGCCAGAAGTGCACAATTCGCGAAAAAGTATTTAAAACTATTTAACATATTGGTACTATGTTGATACTCTCTACGGCACCTACTGTATGATGGCATGATGGCATAGCCATGACGTCACACTCAAGCCAATCAGCGTTCAGAAGACAGACTCGTCGGATTGTGTCAGATAAGCTGATTGGTTAAAGCTGAGCTGGTTGGAGCTGATTGGTAAAAAACCAAAGCCTCGCCGCGGGTGGCTGTATTGTCGGATAAGAACGCATTCCTCGGATAAGGACGCAGTCACGCATTCCTGGCGTATTTTCTTTTAAAATTGCCGATAACTACGAATGGAGGCCGAAATCGGCCGTAAGGAGGTAGACAGGTAGGTTTCCGGACACGGGCTACAAGATGGCTATCTCAGTTTCAATTCCCATGTTAAAGGTGGCCCTTTTCCTTTAATGGGCTATGTGCTGCCTCATAGACCACTATATATCATAGATAGATATATAGTGATATAGTGGTCTATGGCTGCCTGTATCGGTTCCTTTATTGGTTTCCTTTGTTGTAGTGCCGGTTATGCTTGGCCTTGTGCCAGAGCCACTGAACGTATCATCACCTACGACTGCCGTATGCTCCAGTGGTGTCATGCAAAATTTAGTAATAGCCCTGTGCGCAAACACGATTTGAAGCTAGTCACAAACACTCATGTAACGAATTGGTCATTCCGGTCATTGTAACTTTTTGCTGCTCCATAGAATTTTGAAATGATTATTCAAGTCAAGCTTTGTGAAAGGCATGAAACTATTGTTATCAGGTCGTGTCAGGACAGTTGGTATGCAGAAGTCTGGAAGTCATAATGCGTAGCTGGACGCTTGGTTCCCTAGATCTGGTCTAGCGTTGGCTGATAAAGGAGAGCGCCTTGATCCATGAAATTGGCACTGAATTTCCTCAACACTCTGGTTTTGGCTATCTCGCTGGCCGGGTAGAGACGGCGGCGAAGATGTTCAGCAGTGGGGTCATGAAAAAGTCGAGACCGAATGGTTGAAAGGATGGTCAACATAATTGTCATCCTGCTCGCACTGTGCATCTGTAAATCAGGGTGGGAGGGATGGCGACGAATGGACATCGCAAGCGGTACATTTTCTTATAAAAGAGGGTCGATAAAGATAACTGTTGAAATAGATGACAGTCACGTATATGACAACTGGCACACTCCAAACCAATGATGTCGAAATAGAGCTTTCCACTGGGTTAGCTTCTAACGGCTCGTGCAATCATGTTGAAATCTTTACCTCGTTTGGGTAACGCATCATACGAGCTAATTTTCGAAGTTTGCGTTGCGACTTGCGAGACTGCTTGACTGATTATGCTGTGCAGCTACCGCGCGCTGCATACGTTTTCTTTATACAGGTATGCCAGATAGGCACAGACGCGATGACTACCCAATGGGATCCCATGCATGATGCATATATGGCAAAAAGTTACATTGACAAAGTACGCATAGTTATTGATAACGCACACAAACTTGTGGCTCGACGCGGAAGTGATTTTGACATGCGTAATGCGTTCACTTTCGGTAAAACATCCGCTTTGCGTCATCATAACGCACTATAACATCATGAGCGGCGATTTGCGGCATACCGTAAGCGGTTCAGCCAACGATCCGTGGCTTTGGCAAGTCATTGACAAATAACTTTTTGATATGCATAGCATAAAGCTGTGCGAATAAATGTAAGTCACAAACCCAGAAACACTAATCATTATTCGTCCTGCGTTGGATATAGCTTACGCATATCTTATTGCAAAACTTGCAGATTCTTTTTATATGCCCGTTATGCTTTGAGAAGCATATATGTATTACCTACGATTTCAAGATGATGACTTACCTAAGTGCATCTATGGTAATTGCAAAGCAGCAGGGAACATGGGAAATAAAATACATAATACTGTCATATCTGCAATGGCCATCGATTGTTCCCACTTTCACTTTCACAACTTTTCAACAATAAACGAATCAAATCATACGGCGTTTTCAACATCACGCAATAACTGAACTGTCCCGATGGCACACTACTTCCCCGCCAGCACCAGGTACCGCGTCTGACCTTGAGTGAGGTGTAGTAGTCGCCCAGCTCGGTGGACGTGTTGTAGACGAGTGGCCAGCTGGTCACCGTGTCCACCGTCTGGTAGCGGCGAGCCTCCTTCATGATCTCAGTGGTCACCGGCGGTGTCTGGAGACCGCCCCCTGGCGGCTGCTGCAGCGGCTGTCTCCGCGCCATCGTGGTAACTGGGGGGACCGGGCAGGTCACCGTGAGGCAGGTGATGACCGCGGTCTTTTGAAAATGACATGGCACAGCAAAAAGTCATTGGACACAGTAAGCACAAAAGGGCGCTGGGCAGGACAATGGGCAGAACGCAGAATAGGTCACTTGATGGTGAGCACGACCCAGCTGAAGTGCGCACAGGTAAAGATGTTTTATGGACATTGGACAATCTTTGCAAAAGCACGACATCGCAACAATCACTACAGTCCTCATGATGTCACGAAATACGATTCAATAAGTGATTTGCGGTCTTTATATTTAATACAGACGACGATGTCGGTTTGATATATCGTTATCATTTGATGAGCACGGCTCGTCTACTTCAACCTATGTCGCCCGACTATAATGAATCAATCAGGGACTCTTCTAGTAAATATCGGGCGAGGCTCATACTGTTTCAGCTTTTTGCCTTTTTTCTCAACTATATTATTTCGCTCCCAGCTACCGATGAACCTCCGATATAGTTTAACATAGAAAACACTCTAGCGTTAGTCTTTTAGAAATGTGTTTATCTCATCGTATGGTATTGATTGCAATTTGCATACCGGAGTTCTTTATTACAGGCTTCCCTCCGAGCACTAGACTTTGATATCAATAAAACGTCTCGATAGCGTAGAAATAGCGCGAAATGCGTGAAACTCCTGCTCCGTAGCCAGCACCAGCATACGCTCTAGGCACACACAAGAGCTGTGTTCGCTAATTCCTTTCTATACCCAGTCTATTGAGCTCGAGGCAGAGCTCAGTGACCGGACTCACCGTTCTTTCAGCAGAGGCACGAAAACCCTCAGAGCTGGCGGTCGGTCCTCCGTCCACAGCACACCACCCCTCACGCACGGAGTCCGGATCAGGAGTGCGCTGCCGACCGCACGCGCTAAGTAGCCAGTGGCCGGCACGTTTGTTTACGTTAATTCGGTACTGGCATGGGCGGAGCCAGGATCGCCGTAGGGAGGGTCAGTTACATCAGAGATAGAGTTGGATGGGAAGAGCATCTCTTAAGTCTCTAGAGATGCCTGAAATACTTCACAAGAAAGTAATGGATGCATCCTTGCAATGAAAAACATGCATGAATATGCATAAAATGCGAAATTAATACAAGCGAGGTAGGAAAGGCGTTAGAGCGGTATCAGTGCTCGTGGTCTGGTATTGTCCAGGCTCAGTTTATTCCATCTTAAAATCTGACTTGTCCGTTTGACGTGAATCACGCAGTGACTCACGCCCCGCGACGCCTGGAATACCGCGGGTGGGGGACTCGGTTCCCCGCGCTGGAGTGTGGGTCAGGTCAGGGGTCAGCCGACTTAGCCCCGGTGATTAGGGGCCTCTTTTGCCACTCCCGATTATCTATATAAAAAAATAAGAATGCTAGAAATACGAAGAAAACAATCGAAGACTCCCAATAAGTTCTTCCAGATTAATCAATAGCATTTTTCAATCAGGTCAATGTTGTGGTCGCTGAAAATCATAAAGGGAAGAATTTTGCCATCAAATTTTTCCAATGCTGACATTTTTCAGACCGGAGCATAACTCTTAAGCCAAAAGTGCTAATTGTATTGGTGTTAGTCATAGGTCATGTGATAGGTACTCCGGCGCACGAGCGCAATATTTACAGCAAACCGTGACTAAAATGAACATGTTGTGTCGCTCGTTCTCTGATTCTAACGGCTGTGTTTCGCATGGCGGCAACTGACAATACCCGGACAGCAGCACCAATAAGGCCATAATGACCTGTGTTGTTTGTCAGCAGTTTTTACGCCGTACGTATAAGGTACCTAAGTATCTCACCGTGAGCAGCTTTTAATCGGTAGCAGCTGCCCGCAAGCTGTGCTTACCGTTTGTGAACGGCCTCAAGGCCCTAGACCAGCGTGCCTCTGTTCGATCACTGCACGAAAGAGAATACGGTCAAGGTATGGCTGAAAGGGAGGCTCTAGGTGCAGTGGCGGAGACAGGAACGGACGGGGGGTGCTGCTAGAACGAGTCTTTTTTGTTTTCTATCTTTGCGATATCTATCTCTTTTTATAAAACTAGTTAGAGTAAATAAATATCGTGCCTTTTCCACATTGATAGGAACGAATACGGTAATAAATTTGAGAGGGACTACCCAACTACCCGCTCCCCATGGAACGGTGGCTGCCTCCGCCTATGACCTGGCGTTTCATCATGTAGCCCGAGGCGTGCCAGTGACCTGGGTCGCTCGTCCCGGCCCGCGCCGACCCCGGCCGGGTCAGAGCGTGTCGGGAGGTCGTGGGGCGTGCGGGGCTGTCCACGGGGACTCGGCATCTTTTCCAGCTCTCCTCGTCAGCTCAGTAGCTGGACGAGAACAACATCGGCTACTGGACTGCACCGCAGCCGAGCTGCGCTGACTGCAGCAACACTGGAGCGGCAGTGGGATATCATGGCCTCGAACGTCCACTATGTGCTGTGCGTGTATGGCAGCGTCCTTCTGCTGCTGCGCCAGGCGATCATCATGGACTTCCTGACTGTGCAGGATCCATACCTGGGGACTGACACCCTGCTGAAGCTGCTGAAAGAGTTCATAGAGTCCTTCATCCACGGCCTGCTGCTGATGGGACTGCTCCGTGACCGTCGCTGGCGCTTCATGGTGACGCTGTGGCTGTACGTGGCGCTCTGGCTGGAACTGATCCACATAGTGACTGGCATCGTCATGGAGCTGCTGTCCAGGGACGTTTTGGAGACGCAGGCAGTGGCGGTCGCCATGATCGGGAGTCTATGGCTTCTGGTCTACTCCTACGTGCACTGGGACCAGGAGGACCGCGACCGGACCCGCAGAGGAAGAGGATCGGCTCGCGGCGGACGCGCTCAGCTCAACGGGCAGACCGAGCCGACTCCTGAGCTGTACCTGCTGGTGCCCTCCCACACCGACCCACCACTCCGCTACGCGCCCTTCTGGGAGACCGACCTGGTCACCTGGCGCTGGATCGCCCGCTTCGGCAACGCCTTCGTCAACCTCATCTCTCCGCAGGACCCGGAAGCGGTGGCAGAGGACAGGCCCCGTGGCTAACCGTCAGACGGCGAGCAGCGACGGAGGGGCTTCTGCGGAGGCTCCAGCCGCGAGGAGGGAGGGATGGCGGAGGAGCGGAGTGGAGCGGAGGAGCGACTGGGGTGGCGCGCCCCGAGCGGCGGAGGTGAAGAGCGAGGAGCCTCTTGAGGAGGATAGCTGGTTCGGTCTGAAAGGAAGATGGTGAGCTAGATGAGGTGGTGGGGCGTGCACTGGAGCATGACAGATACCTGCAGTGAGCGGTCTGCCAATGCACAAACTGTGGGTTTCAATCTCATACTTTTTATTCTGAGGTGGTGGGATAACTGCTGACTGTTGTGGTAGTAGAACATACCTTCGTGCGACTTTCTACCAGATCGCACAAGTTCCGGTCTTTCATCGTGACATCACCGGCCGGAAGCTGGCGTGATGCGTTGCCTGTGCTTTGTGCGTTGAGGCGGCCGATTTTAGATTTAAGGACTGGTGCTCGCCGTGCCCGTTTTACACAATTCATCTGGAGTGCTTCTTCGGTATATGCTCGTTTTTAATACCATTTGCATCCAACCTTTCACATAAATTTGAGTCCCCTGCATTTTAAAGCTTTTTTTGTGCTCGTGTCAGTAACTTTTCAAACCGTGTCTATTCAAAGTCTAAAAGCTTACGTCAATTACGCTTATTGTATGGCAAAGAACGGGTGCCGCGAGTGCCAACATTTCCTTTTAGTTTACTAACCACCCTTACCTGTAGTGTACCCAACTAGGATCTTTGTGTGCTATATTTTTCTGGTATGAGGGATTGTGTGACCCGTGTTCCTTTGACGCGATTTTTTTAATAAAAATCATAACATCCACCGCTGTTTGGAGCGATTATGTAGTGCGGTTTTGTGTTGATAACGTGTCTGGGTTTAATGTTACTGGGTTTAATATGACTGGATTTTACGTGACTGGGTTGAAAGGCGGCTGGTGGAAAGGCATGACTGGTTGAAGCGTGGCTGGGTATAAGAATAACGTGGCTGCATTGCATAAAAGGTTTCATAAAGGTGAATAGCTGGCTGGGTAATAAAACTAGTGACACGCAAAGCAGCTTATCCATGTCTTCCGTCTATTCAAACCTTAATTCGTCTGGAGCAGGAGCATGACATTGGGATTTGGGTTGGTAAAAACGGAATGCTTACTGCTTAGAGTGGTCAACGAGTGTAGGATTTACCAAAGAACGGATATATAGGGCGTTTATAAGCAGAATGCAGCGTCTATTCCGATTCCGAAGCTCGAGTCTGTAGAATTACTGAGACTCCGTCTCCGACCCCGAATCATTCGCTTATCAAACGGTCGAATCCGATCAACTTCGACTCAGACTCTGATTCTTCTCTCTACAGCGTCTTTTTACATATATTTCATGCTATTACATTTACACAATATCGCGTCGTGTAGCATCGCTTCAAAAATATGTATTTCGCTCACTGCATGTCCAATCCTGATATGTGTAACTGCTCAGTTCGATCGACGAAGTGACCCGTTATTGTGATAAGGGGCAAATTGTATACCACAAAACAAAGCCACACATTAAACGACCATTTCCCGATCAATCTAGCATCAGCGATATGCACATTTCGCTGACGCTCAAATCCCGCTCTCATCGACACGTGACCTTCTCTCCCGATCACGTGACACTCCCCCTCTCCTCCAGTCTCCGGCACGTGACCCGTCCGCCCGTGCGGATCGCTCATCTAACACGTGGCAGTGTGCCGGTGGTCGCTGTTCCGTTTACCACGTCACCCTTCGCTGAGGCAGCGGCCTGCTGTCAGCACGGTGATGTAGCTGACAGTCTTTCGTGGGTTCCGGGAGATGCTAAATGAAGACAGCATAAGAAACGGTTTACTTGGGTTGAAGTTCTGCTTTTTTAATGTTCCCCTAAAGTTAAATTATTTAAAATGAAACCTCTGAAGAAGGTAATCAATGATCGTGCTTCAACTTTGTTTCAATTTTAACCATCAACTTCAACTTTGACCGTTATCGTCATCGGTGACTAGTTTGATTATAACATTATCAATGAACGGTACAGTGACATGTTTGACATTTTAATACGACACTCTGTCCGTTCAGATGGCTCTTCGTTTTCCCTGGACCCTGCTGATGAACGGTGGCTGTTGCTAGCAGATTTCCAAAGACCTCTTCAGTCACCCCTTGATAAGGCTAACGAACTATGATAATACTGAAGGCACAAATAATGCTTAGAATTCACAGTGCAGCACTGTACAACCGCAGGATTGCATGCGATTATTGCGAAGCAAAATTAATTGCACTAAATGGCTGTTCATCTAGCATAAGGAGACGGAATAATTAAGTGATATCATATTAGATTTGTCAATAAATTTTGTGTATGGGCAACAATAATGAGAATGGCATGACATCTGGTCTGTTGGTTATGTTCAAAGCCATTGGTGGTTTGAACCTAACCAACAGTGGCTTGAAGGAGAGAAAACACTTCGCCGCCTCACAAAAAGAGCATTCAGCACCTGCATGCGTCATTTAGGTACTGGGGCCTCGTCCTTTTACTTCTTTTTTACAGTGCGCACACAGTTATTTAAAATTTCAGTGAACATCTCACCAATAATTCCCCCTCCCCCCAGCCCCCACATTTTAACTTGGGAAAGACTCTTAACACATATACTAGCTGTTTTCACGACGGCCATCTGGTACACATTTGGTGCACATTTGGTGCAGATTATGTGCAGATTTGGTCAAATTAGGTTCATTGTGTCTCTTAGTAGCTGTCAGCTAGGGTTGCACTAATTGCTTATATGCCTGTTTTGTCATATTACCTTTCATAGAGTATCATCGAGTAAAACACTGAAATAAATCCATGAAATAAAGATAATTTGATGTAAAAGAGATTAGCTGCAGATTTGGTCAAATTAGGTGCACTCGCCGGATAGCCCGTCGTGAAAACGGCAACTATATATACCTGCATAGTGTGCAGCGTGTATAACTGGTTTTGCAAATTTTCTCGATCTAACCTCCGACTGGATAAGCTCCGACCAGCGAACACTAACCTCTGCCCTCTGAATTCTCACTCGGACGTGAGAGATGTCCTGTGACCCCTGACCGACCCGTGGCGGCTCTGTGCCATCCGGGACTCGGCACGTGACTCGATGACTCAGTGGTCCTCTGCTGTGGAAGACGAGCTGACTCAGGAGCGACTCTGACGCGCTATCAGCAGCTCGGTGCTCCTCTAAAGTCGGTGCCGACGTGACTGGTCACGCACCCTCAGACGCGCCGCCAGGCCGGCTGTCACTCTCGGGCCGCTGTGAAGGTGTCCTATGTCCCCAGCCCAGATACAGACGCTGCACCGAGCCAGCACGAGGGGTATGACCGCAGGAGCCAAAGGTTACTCAGCACTGTGAGCGTCATTCGACGAAGGCTGAGGAAGCAGCTCGGTTCACCGAGCGTGGAGCTGGGACGAGTGTTAGTGAAGAAGCGCCTGTGGTCGCGCGTGGGTGGCCTGCTGACACGTTTAGGCCACCCGTCCGTGTGAGTTAAAAGTCACCACTGATCGATCTCCAAACTCACCAATCAAACACCCCGGTCCCGGTAATTGAGCCCCAATTATCGCCGGAACTCTGGCGTATCGGCCGGGCGCAGTTCCGTGCTGGTCCCGCCGACGGGGTCGGGAGTTCCGGACGAACAGAGAGGAGCGGCCGGCGGGAAGGTCAGGTGGGCGAACCGTGTGTGGAGGTCAGACACTGACCTCGGGGTCAGCCGTGGGGCGGAGATGGCCTCCGTGCTCCCTCATTACTATCGGCGCGGTGTATCTCGGACCGATCTAATGCGCCCCCGCGGCGCTCCCAGTGACGCAGCTATGTAGGTGCGGGGGGGGAGGGGGCAGGCAGCTTCACTGGCACTGATACAAACCGACTGAATAGCACATCTCGACAAACGGCTCCGGTGTTCGGTGACCTGCGGCCGAGAGCAGAGCCTCTCATATTGTTTAGTTTGACCCGCCACGGGTCAAACTAAAGCTAGATCGTCGTATCGAGGACGTCATAGTGGTGCAGTAAGCAGTTTAATGGTCAGCCCTTGATTGGCTTACATTAACTAAACACAGGGATGATAGCACACTCAATGGCAGCCTGAGAAATATCTGGTCGGGGAGACCGGAGGAAAAATCTGTTTGACAGAGTTCCGTGGACACTTTATGCCTAAAAGATAAAAGAAAGGAAGGTAATAATAAAGTAAGATAAGACAGTATAATTGTTTTAATTTCAACAGTCGCTTTCGAGATGCATTTAATTAATAGCGAGATATAACAACAATTTCTAAGAGGAAAGCATCACTGTTTTAACCAGGCAAGCTTATTTGCATGCCATTGTTGTCTGGAAAATTCTAACTCGATGTGTGACAATTTACTCATTCTCTTTAATGAAGCCAAAACTATTTAACCGTCTCCTATCCTTTTCTACCCCCGATATAAAAAGCTTCATTTACCAATAAGCTCCTAACACTGACCAGTTCGACCACCTGACCTCTGGTGAACGGACGGCCATCCTCTGGCCTTTCAAAGACCACGCACAGACCTTAAAGTACCAGCCACAGACCGTTCAGACGGTCAACCAGTAGCCTCCAATCCTTCACATAGTCCATAGCCGTCCTGGCCATACCACGTTAGGTGTTATCCGCCCGAGAGACACGCCACAGTACTGAGATTGATGTGTATTCTCGACAGATGACAGTAATGAAGCCGCCACACGCGGCGCACATGTATGATCGGAGCCTCATCTCGGCAGAGGGGTCGTTCGTCCAACAGGTTCAGTGGTAGCCACAGGTGTTTAGACAGTGGGAGCCTTGGGGATGGCGTCACCCTCGGCGCGGTAGCCGTTCTCGTCGGCGGTCCAGGTGATGGTCACGGTCTGGCCCTCGGGTGTCTCGTAGCTGTACGAGCCCTGCATGACGGTGCCGAACTCCTCGCCGATCTGCTTCAGCTGGCCCTGAACGTCAGCCTGCGGGGGAGAGGGAGTGTCAGCACTGCAGAAGAGACGGCCGGTGGTCCGGGAAAAGGGTGACTGCGGCAGAAAATACATCCGATGCAAGCATTGAAGGATTTTCCGTCTGACGCCGAGAGTGGCGGAGATAAGCTATGCACGGTTGAAATGAAAAACATTCCGACTTTGTTTGATAGCATGAGCGAACTCCGATCGCAAACACGCCGATCGTAGCCGGACGGCACGAAGAGCCATGGTGTGCGCTGTGTGTTTGCGCGTGACGTGACTGCCATCGTGTCTGTCTGCCCACCTGGATCTTGTTGGCCGTCTCGTACTGGTACTGGAACGAGCCGTCCTCATTGCTTGTGCTGTCCATGCGCAGGATGGCGATGGGCTCCTTCTCGAGGTTATCCAGCTTCTCGGCGGCGGCCACCGCGACCAGGGCGAAGACGAGCAGCTGTGGAGGTCAGGTCGGGTCAGTCACAGACAGTAGGTACAGTCAGCGGCCACTGCGACCAGGGCGAAGACGAGCAGCTGAGGAGGTCAGGTCAGGTCAGTTACAGACAGCTACAGACAAGCGGTGGCCACTGCGACCAGGGCGAAGACGAACAGCTGAGGAGGTCAGGTCGGGTCAATTACATGCAGTTAGAGACAGACAGCGGCCACCGCGACCAGGGCGAAGACGAACAGCTGAGGAGGTCAGGTCGGGTCAATTACATGCAGTTAGAGACAGACAGCGGCCACCGCGACCAGGGCGAAGACGAGCAGCTGAGGAGGTCAGGTAAGTCACGACCAGTTACAGTTATGGTCGTAGCCAGAGTTGAAGTCACTGTCTTTTTTCTTAACTCGTATTGGTATCCTTGTGACTTTTGTAATTACACAGGAAGAAATCAAATAAAAACGTACTAAGATAAAGAGCAAAATGCACGAAGTGTTGTCGGGGAGTTGGAGAAGTTGTGTTAGATTGTTTAAATGTTTTTGGTATAACAAAGCAATGTGACGTACTGTGGGGGCCAAAAAGCAAACGCTGGTTACGAAAGTGACTGCTATTGTTAAACAAATCACGAGCGCGACCTTCCATCCTACCCGTGCTGTCATTAAACTGGCTCTCGGCTCGGAGAAGCTAACAGTGCGGGGTGTTTTGTCATCCCGTTCGACCTTCTCAGGCATCTGTTGTTTACTCTCCGTCACGGTCAAGTCGTCTGCAGCTGTAACTAGCAATCACGGCTCGATAATAGTGGGAGAGAATGGTAACGCAAGGGCGCGTCTGCTTTTTTGTGACAGAAGCTCAGGGGTTCCGTTCTTTGTTTCGTGAGCTATGTGCAAGTGATGTGCTCACTGTACAGCCGTACAAATAGGACGATCCAGGTGCATTTCAGTCGACTATTTTAATTCGATTTACTCCTAGGGGAGCGGGCGACACGCTGGAAACCGGTAAGGCTCGTGAGCCCACTGCATGATTACCACTTTGTTTATTGTTACGACTTACGATTGCTATGATAAGAATTTAGAATCTATCGCTGTCTTATTCTGAAATGTTTATGTAACATTGGATTGCTGATTAAATTTGTAATCTGGTACGAAAAATGTTGCAAGAGGGTATATTCCTAAAGGCTTTAACCAAGCCTTAGACGCCAGAGGCGTTACAAATGTTTGTATGTATTGAGTCTTCTTGAAATTGCTTTGTTCACTAATTTGCTGTTCGAGCAAATAGTTGCGCAAAAGCAAGTCTTATATGCCTTTTATAATTGACATTTGGAGTAGCGAGGCTAATTTCCGATTATTGGAAAGCCGAAGCCAAAATAAATTTCGAGCAAACGAATATAAAAATGATGAAAGAGAGCGAGCTTTGAGCGTAAGAAATTAAGGAAAAAATATTTTTCAACAAATAAAGAGCATTTGGTACATTGTCGATGATTTGCAAATAAGAAAACACATTACACTTCAATACCAAATACCAAATGAGTATTGGTTTGGTTTGGTATCAATACCAATTCTGTATACAGTTGCCAGTTGATATCCGATTGACGGGGGATAGTCTGACTGCTGTAAGTGAGAGACTGTAGCTGTTGCCATGAACCAACAGAAATCCTTAGAAGGCGGCTGGAGAAGAGCACTCACCAGCTTCATGGCGATGTGATGTGGGGCGCTGGGGCAGCTTCACAGGTGACTGTGCCATCTGCCCGGCTGGCGCACCTTTTATACGGCAGCCCGAGGACGGACAAGGCCGCCACATCTTCAGCCGGCGGCGACACGGAGAGGTGGGCCGACAGAAACAGACGACGGGCGCCGAGAGACCGGACACAGACAGACAGACAGACAGACGGCGGGCGCCGAGAGACAGGACACAGACTGACAGACTGACAAACAGACACAGACACACGGACAAACAGACGGACAGACAAACCAGACAGACGGCGGGCTCCGAGAGACCGGACAGATAGGTAGGTATACGGCGCACAGGACACAGACGGACAGACCGGACAGACTTACCAGACAGATGGCGGGTGCCCCGACACCGACAGACGACGATATGGGCCGACATAGTCGGAATGTGGGCGCAGGGACAGGTGGGCCCGGCAAACAACCGGACAGTCGGGCTCGCGACAAACAGACGATGGGCGCCTCGACACAGACGGCGGGCGCCCCTGATCAGACAGACGGCGGGCGCCCCTGATCAGACAGACGGCGGGCGCCCCCGATCAGACGGCGGGCGCCCCTCTCAGACAGACGGCATGGACGCCGGTGACATCTGAACTCTGGACGCCCTAAAATCCTGGATCACAGCACATCACATGGACAGACGGCAGGCTCCCCGACCAGACAACGACGGACGCCCTGGTCCGACACAGTTAGGCAGCATGGGCGTCACGGCATACAGACGCCCCGGACCATACCGGGCAGACTGGCGTGGAGCATCGGGACAGGATGACAGGACCAGATCCGTCTGGCGTCAGACAGGCCCAAGATTAGTTTACCTTATTTTAATTTAGTTTTATTGGTCGGCCCTTCGGACAGCATGAGTTACCTAATTATTGTGATCAGTAACACTCTGGAAGACATACCTATTACCTACTAAACAATTTTTTCATACCTACCTATAAAGCCAACACTGATTTGGTATGTCAAACTACATAGTTCTCCTTACCTTACGTTTAACGATCACGTTCTTTCACAAGTTACGAGTTGAAATATTTATGGAAAGAAACAACGTGGTTGCAAACTTGCATGGTAGGTATGCCTTACCCACCTACCATCTCACAGATCGTTAGGTATACGGCTTGCATGACAAGTCGAGCTGCCTAGCCAACTCATCCCCAGCCTGCCCTGAATATAATTAAATGCTAGTCGAGGGAGCTGTCCTCGCCTAATGTAGTCTGGGATCTGGCGGATCCGGCTGGAGTGGCTTGTCCATGTCATCATTGACCATGGACGTGTATAATGTAGATGACCACTCAACGATCGCCTCATGGGCACCTCCACCCACTCTGCACCAAGGCCGCACCAAAGGTGCATCTTGGCACACCGATGCAGGTGGGATTCCACACCCAGAACGACATCGTCTGATGTATTATTCATCATGCTGAAGCGCCGAACACTATCATTCCCGGAGAGCCTGCTGTGATAAGTGAAACGAATGTCTGTCATCATATCAACGAGCAAAGAAACGGGCGTACTTGCCGCTGTACCAGCAAAACATGCCGCGGCTGGATCCGACTGGCGCAGTTTCTGTATGCCGTTCATGTAGACACGTTTAGAGGGCGAGGACGCGTCTCCGTGGTCCTCGCTGTCGGTCAGCAGAGCCACTAGCGACTGGTCACATTAATCAGCTGAGAGGTCAGGTCGGGGCCGCCCGCTGACTGCCCCCTCCTCCTCCGCCCCCCCCCTTCCTCCGCCCCACTGTCCGCAGTGGTCACCTGTTCAGGGACGGGACAGACCCTGAGGCGGTCTGCCTGGCATCCGACCAGCAGTTAATCGAGTGACTGTTCGTTTACGAAAGTTGGTGCCATGTGCCCGAAAGAAGTCATTTCTGGTGTTTCACCTGCCATGGAATCTAATAGTATGCAGTGAAAAATGTCAATTCACGATATGACGAATGACGATGCATAAAATATGAAACAATCGTGATCAAGAAGCTTCGTTTCAGTCCATTTAAAGCGACCGCGCGCTAGTACAACACGAAAAAACATATAAGTTTATTTTCAGCCGCTTTGATAGCCTCTCTATATACCACTCTAACAAAGGCATCGCTTAGGGGATTTTCCGTCTGGGACTCTGAACCAGTAGCAATCTATAACATACATGATGTCGGCGTAACTGGTAAAACGTGAAGAGCACGCACGAAAAGGAGGGATTCAGTGGCCGTCCACAGCAGCCTTTCAGAGGAAGGTCGCGACTTGTGATATATGCTACGTCAGCTGCATCATGCTAGTGAATAGTAACCAGTGACTCAGTGATGACTGCGACCTTGACCGGAGAGGTGTGACAGACTACGTACAGACAGACATTGGGGGATGGTTAGAACTGTGAGAGGGGGTGAGAAAGAGAGATAGAAAGAGAGAGAAAGAAAGAGGGAGAGAAAGAGAGAGAGAGAGAGAGATAATGAAAGAAAGAGGGAGAAAGGGAGAGGACGAGAGAGAGGAGACAGATAGGGAGAGAGAGAGGGGGAGGGAGGGAGTCAGCACGTCCAGGCTATCGGACCACAGGCAGCCTATCTCACATATCCCTCGTCTCCCTGACAACCTGGTGCCGTTTGGCCGCACATTTGCATGTTGAACAATACATGAATTGTGCATGGCGCCGCCAGAACAGGCTGACCCATACACAGCTGGCTGTGTGCCACGGTGGGTGATGCAATAATACCGACAGCATGTGGTGCCTATCGAATACCTACAATGAACGGGCTACTGTTGAATACTGCTGCTTAGCATACGAAAGTGACGTAAAGGCTATGGAACGTATCGATGAACAAATGAGATCAATAAAAGCCGTTTTCATCGGGCAAATGCATCAAACTTGACCTGAAGTTTGTGTATTAACCCTCGCCGGACTTATTGGTCTTCTACATACGCGCCAGACGAGGGGGGGGTACGACCCCCGACTCGCCGTTTCGCCCCTGGTGGAGCTAGCGCGTCGCGGAAAAAAGAGCGTGTGCGCTGTTACGAGACACAGAGATTGATACCTGATTTTAACCCGCGCCGGGCCGGGGGGGTGTTTGAACACCCCCCCTGCGGTTTTTCGCAGATATTTCAAAAACGGCGGCGCGGAGCGCCGCCGTTTTTGGCACACCTGTTCGTGCATCTTTTCCGCACATGTTGTGAAAATTTCAGACCCAGGTCACCTTAGGTCAGGTCACCAGGTCACGCCAAGTGACCTCACCTCAGAAAAAATAAGAATGCTCGTCATAGCTACACCGATTGATCGATTGCCTTGAAACTTTCAGCGATTGATTAGAGCAACAATATCTTTAAAATGTTTATCTCGGAATTTTGATATCGGTGACCTAAGGTCAGGTCAATTTTGCGACCTCTCCATTATAAGTCAATGGGAGAAAATTGAAAAGCGTCTGTTTTGCACGGCGCTATTCTAGACAAACATCGAGATGTAGGTAAAATGGACACACTGAACCGGAAAATGGCAACAATGACCCCTCGTTATGTCCCCGAGGTCATCTCAGGTCACGAACAGAATCTAACAGTTTTTCGCTAATAACTTCTGATAGAGACGTGCTAGAGCGCTGAAAACGCCTTAGATGTGTTCGGCTCGACGTTGCAGATCGACTGATATGCAACATGACCTTTTCCGGTCAGGTCATGACCTTGACCTGAGGTCAAATTTTCAAGTTGACCTTTCAAGGTCAAATTATAGTTCATTCGACGCGTCTCGACGAGAGGAACACGATGGTGGCAAAAGTAATGTCGTGGCTCTTTTGAATCAAAAGTTATTGCCGAAAAAACGTTTTTCGTAAAAACGGCTATTTTTGGAGTTTTTGCCCTATGGAGGCTAAACCGTTGACCTGAGGTCAAATCTGAGAAGATTACTCAGAAAGGTCTGTAAAAGGGCTATCGAATGCGCTTTTCCGCGGCGCTGTAGCTCTATCGGTTCCCGAGATAGCCGTTGGCAGTTTCCAAAATGTTGAAATAGTAGACATTTGACCTTTGGTGACCTCTGGTGACCTGACCTTTGACCTGACCCAAAAAATGACCGAAGTGTTTTCGTCCTTATTTTGGACGTTCTTTCGATTGCCGCTTACCGCGTGTCGCTACGTGGCCCAGGAGCCGAGTTAGAAGGGGGAGTGTTCAGACAACCCCCCCCCCCCCGGCCCGGCGCGGAATCTCAGAGCCTCGGCCCGGCGCGGGTTAAGGTTCTAGGTCAACCGGTGAAATCTCAGGTCAGGTCAAGTGCCCCAGGGTACGGTTCCGTTTTGGGCGAATAACTTCGCAAAAAACGGCCGCAGAGCCGCGATTTTAGCAGCATCGTGTTCGCCTCGTTCAGGCGCGTCGAATAATATACTTTTTATTTGGATGAGGTCAACTTAGGGTGTTGACCTCAGGTCACGGTCAGGTCAGCACCCCCAGGTCACGAAATTGGTCGAAGTAGGTCATGTTGCATATCATTCGATTCAGCAGGTCTTCCTGAGTCCATTGGTGGCTTTCGCGACTCGCTAGCTCAATTTGATTGGGAGTTATTGACGAAAAACTAATATGACCCTAATGACGTCATAAATGACGTCACGCAAGGTCAACATTGCAAAAGTGACAAATCTAACCTTTCCAGGAGTGCACCAAATCACGACTCTGTGTGCTTGAGATATGTAGTTGGAGGTCGTTCCCGGCGCCAGAATAGCAGTTTTTATTTCCCCATTGAATTATAATGGTGAGGTCACGAAAATGACCTGACCTCATATGACCTCTACGAAAAATCCGAGATATACACGTTGTGAGACTCGTAATAGATATTAGATCCTGTAATTTAAATTTTCATGTGTGAAAGCTCCTCTGGCAGTGAGGGCGTTGCGAAGTTGCGACATCTGAAGACCGTGCAGAGGTTCACTTATGAGTGACGTCATAGGTCAGTGACCTGGCCTGATCCGAAAATGCGGTTTGTGTCAAAAGATCCGGCTTGAATCAAAGGTCACGTATGCCAAGTTTCAGCTTTCTGTCGCCATGTGTTCGGAG